TGAGCTACCGTGTCAATGCCGTCGATCACGAGGCTGTAGCGTTTGGAATCTACGCAGCTCGCCGCAGTATTCCAGAGCGCACATGCAGCATCAAGGCAGTGGCAGTCCAGTTAGATGTGGAGCATGCTCAATGCCAGTGTGTGCCACTGAGCAAAAGGCAGTCGTGCTAGCAGAGTGGGCTGACGATGGCAAAACTCCCATGGCGAACGTTTGGATGCAAGGCGGCTGAGGAAGCACTAGTGTTGTTCCGGAAAGGGGTCTGCGACACGGCAAACTATTTGCGAACCTGCCGTCATCTATGTGGACTAAGGTGGTTTCAGCGCCATTGCAGTGAAGGATACGAGTACTTATCGATACGGCTTCAAGGATATCTCCACTCTGAATTGGCGCCGCGGTTCAAGGAGTCGGCAGACGTCGCAGTTGCTCGAAGTGTCATCTTTCAGCGACCCAGGAATGGAGCTTGGCCTGTGGAGTCCCGAATAAACTGCAAGGCAATGTGGGGGAGGATGGGGGAGGGGGCCTGTGTGTTGAATTTCGTTGTTGGCTGTTTCAGGTGGTATTACAGTACTCAGACATGTTTATGAGTCACATGAGCTCATATATTTCGCTCTTATGTATGTGTGCACAGTATGTATGTGGAATGAGGCAACGCATGTCCCTGGCCGAGCATTCGCAAATTCTGTGGTCACGCGTGCATAAAAAAAGCAACATCCGCAAAGGCGTTGCATAGTCATTTACTGAGGCATGGGCTGGCAGCACAGGAAGCTGTTTGGACTCCGGCGTCGCCACTCCCAGATAGTAGGGGCGAACAACGTTTCGCCGCTAGCGATGCGTGGAGGCTCTTACGAAGCAGAGAGCCTTTGTCTGCATTGCAATCAAGTATTTTGTCATGTTTTGTCTATCTTGTCAAGAGGGCGAGCCTGCTGATAAGTTCCGATGAAGCAGATTCAGAAGTTGTCAGCAGGCACCGTCAACGCATAGCTAGGTGTAATCCTAATCAACGGGAGGACATAAGATTGTCAAAAAAATTGCAGTGATCATTGTTTGAAAGATATTTCTTCAAATCTCGACGGAAATTATTTGAGAAAGAAGGGATCGATAATTTTTTCAATTACTATGTATTGAATTTCATTCTTTTTATATTTTGACGAGGACGGTGGATTTACATTGTTATGTATTTAATTTTTATAATTGTGCCTTTGGGATAAGACTATGATTTAATTTGATGATTGACCGTTGAATTAGATGAACTATTATTATTGTGATTTGATCTAATGATAGATTTAAATAATTATGAGAATATCTCGAAAGCTAATTAGTATAATTTCTTAAAAATGATTGGTTCTTAGATTCTTATATCGAAATAAGATATTGGAATTAATTTATGATATAATAAAACAAAATATTTTTTCGAATTTTATTTTAATATATTTTTTCTTTTAAATTATTTATTTTATAGTTGGGAAAAAATATTGTAAATGAGAATAGATATAAATTTTTCAATAATGGAATTAATAAAAAAAATTAGATGAAAATGTAATTTGATTTATTATTTATGATAGATATTTATCGGGTATTTATATAATTATAATTATAAATAATAGAGAGTATTTTTTGAATATATGACTATGAATTATATAAACAAATCTTAGAAAAATTTCTTCTATTCTTATTTAGGTAGGTTCTCTTATCTCTTAGAAATTAATATCGAATAGAAATATTTGAATTTGATTCGTATGCCGTCGGATTTGACCGATCTTGATATTCTTATTGAAATACATATTATATTTCTTTTTTTTATGCTTAAAAATATTTTTATATAAGATCTCTAAATCGATTTCGGAATATTCTGAATTTTATTATTGTGATTAATAATATAATAAAATATTGTAATTCGAGAATTAGAGTAATTGTATTCGAAATTAATTACGATTCTATATAGAGTACAGAAAATTTAGATATAATAAGAATATTGACACTAATTTTAAAATATAGGTATTGATAATTAAATAAATATTTACATAAAGAAAATAGAGAAATAGATAGATGGAGAGATAGATAAATGGAGAGATTGAGCGATAGACCTCTAGTGAAATTTCGGAGGGCAAGATTCATTATATATAAATTAAAATCATATTTAAAAAGGTCGGAGTGAGATATTACGAAGACGAAAATTTTGATTTATGAGATCTTTCTTCTCTTGAGATATCTTGCAGAGTAGCGGAATGGCGACGCTAGCGGAATATTTTATACGTCGTTTTAAAATTATATTATTTTAATATTCCAAAGGAATATTCATTCGACTGGTCCTATTTATGAAGATTCTACGGAGGAGCGGGGGGCCCCTCTTTAAAGAGGCAAGGAATAATCAAATTTTCGTCTTACCACAATATGATTAGACAGCTAATTAAGGATTATACAATAATTTATAATCGAAATATTATAATGTATTCTTATAAAATATATTATTGCGAATTTTTGATTCTCGATATTAAAACCGGAAAAATTTGAAGATTTCATAATATTATGATAAAAATCTTCATAAATTTTGGGCGGGCAAGGCCTTTCTCTATTTTAATATTACTTGATATCTAAATCTTGATCTGTTTCTCTCTTTATCTCTAAATCTTTCTATTCCTCCCGCGGGCCCTCTTACCGCCATCTTTTCATTCCTCCCCATCCCTCTCTCTATATCTCTTTCTGCCCCCAGTTCAAAATTCACGCTACCTCACACCGATCTCTTTAAAAAAAGACATTATTTAGAGCGGATTCTAACGCATAAAATTCGTACTATTATAGGTCGAAAATTTGACCTAGCCCTTATTATCTAAGAGAAGTCCCCCTTTCTTTTAGAATCTTCTCAAATAAGACCAACCAAATATCCTTCCAGAATATTAGAATATAATATTTTTAAATATCATATAAAATACTCAGCTAGCCAAGCCACATACATCTCATTTATTAAATTACCGCTACTCCACAAAAAATCGTAAGATAAGAAAAAACCAATAAATCAAAGGACTCAAAAAATTAGAATATTAGAATAATAATTCCGAAACTTATAATAGTGGCAGATATCGTTCTTTATTCCTTCAATTTAATATCCCTCCAAATTTCTAATTTAGACTTTCACTCCTAAATAATTCTTCATATCAATTTCCAATTATTTTGCCTACAGAAAATCCCTCTTCCCCTCATTTTGCCTTCCTCTCTCTCTCTCTCGCCTTCCACCATATTGCCTTCCCATCCTATCCTCTCCCATCCTTGTTTTCCATCTTCTTCGTCCATCTTCCTCTATCTTTCGCCTTCGTCCTCCTCCTCCATCCTCCTCCTTCCTCCCCACCTATCTCCTTCACCCCCAGCTCCATCCTCCTCAACCATCTAGCGGCTTCCCTCTCCCTCCGTCCTTCCTCTCCAACCATCTCCTCCGCTCCCTTCCGCCATTCCCTCTCTTCGTTCTCCATCTCCATTTCTTTTCTTCCCTCGTCCCTCTCAGATCCTCTCAGTACCATCTCCTCCATTCCGTCCCACCGTCTCGTCCCCTCCATCCCGTCCCCTCCGTCCCATCCCCTCCACCGTCCCCTCCGCCCCGTCCCTTCCCTGCCATCCCCTCATTCAAAGCTCCTCCAGCCTCCCCTCCTTTGTCCTTTCCTCTCCGCACGCAGTGTCTCCTCCGTCCCGTCCCCTCCATCGCGTCCTCCGCCCCCGTGCGATCCCCTCCATCCCGTCCCTTCCCTCCCGTCCCCTCCCCCACCGTCCCCGTTCCCTCCGTCCTTCCCTCTCCGTCCCATCTCCCCACCGTGCCCTTCGCCGTGTCCGCCGTGTCCCCCTCCATGTCTCCGCGTCCCTCCCCCATGACCTCTTCCGTGTCCCCCTCCATGTACTCCTCCGTGTCCCCTTCCGTGTCCTTCTCCGTGTTCTCTCGGTCTCCCCTGTGTCTCCCTCCGTGTCCTCTTCCATTTCTCCCTCCATCATCTCCCTCCGTCCCTTTCCACGTCCCTCTCCGGCACTGGAACATTGCTCAATTGCGCCTTGCTGCAATGCTCAAACCAGCATCTCCGGAGGAAAGACTTCTCGGTACACTACACTATTCGTGAACAAGTTGCCATCATTAGTTGCTTGTCCATCCGTGCTTCATGCAGCCAGATTTCACGAGATTCTCTGCAAACTTCGCATACCAGGACATGAAGTGAAGCTTGGTTCTCTGCAAACGACGCACACGAGGACATGAAGTGAAGCTTGGAAGCACTCTACATCCATTCTCCGAGTTTTCTAGAGATTTAGGGTCTCTAAGTTTTCAAGAACTTTAGAGAATGGATTTCCAAAATTTCATAAAAAAATTTTAAAGGCCGAACAGGACAGTAAGCCCGAGGCTCTAAATTTCCGAGAAATTTAGAGGCGCGACGCTCCCCAAGTTGCATGAAAGGACAACGCCTCGAAACGCAACTCCCAGGGCTCTAAATTTCCGAGAGATTTACAGCGCTGGGAGACACGTTTGCGAAGCACTCGCGAGCCCCTAAATTTTCCATAAATGTAGAGGATATGCTAGCCCGGAGGGTGGCCACACGAAAAAGAGTCAGTTGCAACGTTTCGTTTTATAGAGTGTGTATATATATATATGTATGTGAGATCCTTCCCAAATTATTTGATATATTAATTTGGCCGAAATATATCTTCAGTAAGTGCCATTTAATTAAATTTTAGTCGATGTCTTCGCAGCTCGACAGGTTGTTGAGTTCGCAGGCTCTCAGGTAATAATTGCCATACAGCGTTCTCACCTGGCAGCTGCAGAGATGCATGCTCGGAACGATCATTCAATCGCAAGCTTTAAGAGAAGCAAGCGGCCCAGTATTCCCATCTCTAGGTCTTTAATGAACGAGTAAGCAAAGCTTCACTACCTCAATCGCATAAACAGTTGGCTTGACGGTCATGCTGGAGTCAAGCATCTCCAAGTACCGTCAATCTGTACAGCTTCGCTGTCCCTTCTCCTAGGGCTCCTCTCATACCATGACCAGCGTGTTCGTCTGACCGGCCAATTTGAGAGGAATCCTGACGCCAAGGGCAGTCATGATGTCCAGCCACAGCTCCCTGCGTCGTGACAGATGGACAAGCCGCAGCACTTCATAATGTGTCCTCACAGTGGAGCCGATCCTTGGCAAAGACAAATGCAAAGTGATCTCAGTCCGTCCCCGCTGACCCCGCTGCGGCTTGGATCTCAACAAGTTTCGCGGTGTTGATCTTGTCTTGCAGCTTCTTCAAGATCTTCGGAGCATCAATCCTCTCAACCTCGTAGTGAGGCTATGCACCATGCCATCATATGCCATCCGAACTCTCGAATGAGTCAGAAGCCAACGCACCACTTCACTTGCGAATATCCAAGAAGCCGTGTTCAGAAGCGACTGTAGCTTGTCCTTCACATGCCTCTCCACGTAGCCGCACCTCATTCCAAACATCTCATAAAACCTGCAAGGCTTCGCCTGATGGGATCAGCCGTAGCTGTGCACTGCGTAGAAGGTATCGTAGTGAAGAGGAAAAGTAATTGGACAGCGACAGCAATCCATGTCAAGGCATGTGCTGTCATCTCCGGACCCCGTCCATGTCTAAAGGCAACAAAGGAGACACCGCTCGGCCAAGCTGCACCGATGCGATCTCGATACCCAGAATCTTGATCTTGCAGCCATCTGCAGTGATCTTGTCAACGTTCCTTCTGTGTGATCATGGCTGAGTGCAAGAATCGACAAGCTTTTAGATGCAATGTGCACAAGAAAGTTAGCACGGTGGTTGCATTCACAATCTCGAAATCCTCCGCACGTGCTATGACCATCAGCATTTGCTTCGCGGGTCATCTGGTTAATCGGAATGCCAAATGCGACTGTGTTGCGAGATGCTGCCAGCTGTGCATGCCCGGCCATGCAATTCAAAGTCGACGCTTGTCGGACATGCACGGCGCAAACATGGACTCTCATTGCGCTGCAGTCAAGAGTCCACTTCAGCACAGTTCCAACAACGTCAGCGTGGAAGTTGAAGGAAAGGTACCACGTGCTGTTCCTTCAAAGAAGAAGCAAAAAGCTCGGGCCGGGAAAAGGCTGGCTGAGCTCTAGCTCTGCTCGAAAATACGATATCTTGTGAAACAACAGCTATAGGAGTCCTCCAGTCCACATAACAGGCATTAAAAGATCAACGGAGAGGGTCTACTAATTTCCAGCATACGTTGCCGGAACGTCTTCGCAATGCAGCATTGGCACTAGCGAAGCCTAGTCCTGTTGGACTCAGCACCTGTCCACGAGTCTGCAAACAAGGCTCAGATACTCCAGGTGGGCGTTGCTGGCTGTCATGTTGATGCCGATGCCGTTCTGGCCATCAGAATCCTTGTGCCACTACAACATTTAAGCTCACTGTTAGGACCGTGTTTCAAGCGGGGAGACTGTCCAGCTTAGAACTAACAACTCGGCACTGGTGAATGCGAGTGACGACGCTGAGGCCCATCGTCTTCCTTAGCTCGAGGTCGAAGGGTCCGCATGGGGTCCGCAACTGTGTTGACGATTTGCTTGGCGGCTTGGCTGTCGTCAGCACGGGAACGAAGACCACAATCTATGTTGTGAAAAACTGTGAGTGCCTTGGCTATACCGGGTTGTGGGATTTCTTGATCTTCATAACAAGCAGCTACATAAACCACTGAATGCAAATTTCCATCGATCTGATGTCGCAGACGATTTTGACAAGACTAGCTGCTTTCCGTTGACCCACCCATCCTCCATGCATGCAGCGAACTTTTGCTCGTTGAGGTTGCAAAGCTCTGATCCGACCGGAGGTTCGGTTCTGTGGAGGCCATGGGAAGTGCCATTTGTGCACCTCTGAACCTCGAAGAGGTAGTCTTTGTTTTACGAGTCGGGCGAGGAGGAGCGTGCAGACGATGCGAGTGGCCCAGGGCAAGCGATTTAGGATTGGCCGCCAATCTCATTGAAACTAACGGTCACTCCCCGATTAGCAACTTCCCAGTCAGTGCAGCCACCGTCGACCACAGCGGGCTTTATTGAAGTCGAACAGCCAAATAACAAAGACAAGCTCGGCCTCACGGACAGTGCCATGTAATTCTCAACCTTATGGAAGCATTGTCGGATGTCGATGACCACTGCTGCCTTGCTCCAACCCTTGTGTCGCAGCCGTGGCTTTTGCCTTCTGTACCTTGTCCGCTGTGGGGAAATGGTGGAACTCATCGCGGACACTTTTCGGGTTGGATAACTCGCGCCGACCAAGTCGCGGACTCGTCGGGCAGCTGACTGCGATCAAAGCAACACGGCCGGAGCTGAAGCACACGAATTAAAGGCGTCAAGCTTGGAATCTCACACCCGGAGCAGGCCAAGCGCATTCAAGTTTTCGGCCGATGTGGAAGGGAGGTTGACCGGTCCTTCTTGTTGTCTGTTTTGCCCGAGTATCAGGCTGAGTCGCCATGGCGGAGGCGCCTTGTGCCGACTGTTCGGAGTCCGAAGCCGAGGGACCGTCACGGCAAGGGTGACGAGACAGCGCTGCCTCGCCGCGGCCTTCGATGCCTTGGTCGTGAGAAGAAGTCACGTTGCAAATCTGCCAGCGACTGCCATGGTTGGCCTGCGCGAACCCTGGCTAAGCTTCCCCGGGCTGCCCTTGTCGAGTGCCAAATCTTCTGCAAACGGGACAGGAAAGGGGGCCTGAACGTCACGTCCAGCCTCAGCCAGATGGTTCGGACAGCGCATCCTCCTCAATCTTCTGTTCTTAAGTGCCGGTAATCGTTCTGCGGAGCTGGTTCAATAGCGAAGTTAACTAACAGTAAAGAGGGCGCAGGCACATGCAGAGTGAAGACGTGATGTGCAAGGAGGGTCGGAGCGAAAACCGCTCGTGATAGGCCCTCGACTGAAAACGGATTTGCAGGCAGAGGGGACTATCAGGACGCTGTCGTGTTGCAAAAGATGGCTTGTGCGCGGAAACTATCGAAATGATCGCGTGGACCTGGCGAACGATTTCATACGATGTCTACGAGAAGAGCAACACCAAACACAGGAAGTATAGTACCTTTGGTCGCAAGGAAGCACAGCTCGTCCTGGATGTCCACGATTGCCTGCCTCACACGTCCGGCACTGGGTCTCGTAGTGGCATGTAGCAGCGGTGTGAGGGGGTCTGCATCGCTCATCGTCTGGAGGGCGGAAACTGCAGCTTCAGGGGGAAAAATGCAGGGAGAGCACCAAGCAAAGGAAGGACCTCAAAGAAAACATTGCTTTCGGGACATCGAAATCTTGGCCAAGAGTCCTGGCAAGCTGCGTGCAGTGGTGTCCAAAGATGTGCTTCCCGACGCGAACACGGACATCACCTTGCATCACACAACGCAGGAACTGTCAGAAACCCAACGGCTTCGGAAAGCCTTTGTTTGATGAACCTGTAAAGCAATTGGATGTCCGTGTGTAGAGATTGACAGCCACCACCAGAACTCTCCGCCGCTTTACTAAACTTTGCGGACACGCTGCCGCCGATGTCCAAAATCGCATCAAGCTCTGCATCGATGAACACAGATACAGACTTCCTGATGCATGTGTGTGAACAGAACAAAGCGTCTTGCAGACTGGCAAACAGGTGCGGCCAGTGCACCATGAAACCTTCAGGCCTCCCGTCAAGAAGCCTTAGCTACTGTGTCACGCGTGACACTGGTGATGCTGCACACGTCAGGCTTCTTGAAACTTCTTTCGCCCCAAGAACTTGAGTTCTTGATGTCGCCCTTGGCGTGGCCATTGAGTGCCTCAACCTGACAAATGAACGAGTCTTGGAAACCGATGCCCCATTAAATACTTAATATGCTGTATACTGTGGACTTCCACATCCCCAATAACACGGAGATGTGACTGCTATGGCACATCAGTCTGGATCCCGCAAGAGTCCTTGTGGTTGCAGTCGTCGTCGATGGTTGTGTCAGGGAAGTGCTCTTCAATGATCTGGCCATGGTTTTTTAGAAACTAGTCACTCCGCAGACAACCGAGAACACGGTCGCATGCCAGAATGAGGCTGCATTGCATGCAGGGTGCAATGTCTCCGGACTCTATCTTGATGGCTGATTCCGCCTGCTTGAAGAAAGCACCTGGGGCGGAGAGATGAAGATTTAAGCTGAACATGTTGCTGCCTAAGCCCGCAAATCTAGAAGACGCAGCACTACTTGGAAACCGCTACGCCCACCATGTCGGTCAAGAGTCTTAAATGAGGCAGAAGCAGCGAGGTTGCCAACCTCCAGTGCGATTCTTTCAGCACACAGGCACAAAGCCGCATGTTCAATACCAACAGCATTTTCTGACGCAGAACCCTGGCTCACACAACAACAAACATGATGCTGTGACAGCTGAGCATGCAAAGCAGCTGTGGTCTGTTCTATACTAGCACTTGTGTGCCAAGCGTCCCGTCACGAGGACCAGTGGAGTTCAGCTTTGAAAACTGATCCTGCGCGGAAGTTGCAAGCAGACGCCTTGTATCCTGCGCTAGGTCATGATGCGGCTCTCATGTGACTGAAACGGATTAAAGGGTGTGAGCTACTCAAGCCGCATGCCCCAAGTTCAAGTCAGGACGAAACCTTCGAAGTAGCTTTGAAAGGTCAGCCGAGAAGCTCAGTTCAGAGCCATGGTTTGAGCTTCGCAAGTCACATCGAGAAAAAGTAATGTCAAAACCGAACTACACGAGAAACTCTGCTGTCTGCAGCAACATAACCCTTTTCCTCCACATGCCCTAACTCCAGCTGCAAGCCTTTAGTTAATGCCCACGATTGCTCGTCCTGGTCTATCAGAGTTACACGGATCCCAAGCTGCAAGGGAGCCGGCATCACCGTGCTTTCGAACTCTCTCAGCATTGCCAGCTTTGCGAATTCCTCGCACTCCAGCCTTGTGTCGGCCAGTTAGCATTCCCAACCCGCCCAACCCAACGCACTCCCATCCCCGAAGCCGCTTTCAATCATGGTCCTTCGTCAGCTCCAGGGACGTGATGGGAAATCCATTGACGCCGGTTGCAAACAGGCCAAGTACCTGAAGGTTCAACTTCAGCAAAGCTCTCCCAAAGAAATCAACACCATTCCGTATCCTGTGGCGCTGCGGTGGCTCTGCAAGTCTAAAGATCTGCCACATAGGCTTGAGTCTCGGGCCTGCCAGAAGACTCTCGGCGCCATGACGCACGGAATTCCGAAACTGCCGAAGCTGCTTGAGCCTGCTTATGCCTAGAGCTGCGAAAGGGTTTGAAAACACTTGCATGAGCTTTTCGTCGGGTCTGGATGGAGCGGATGCAGCAGGGATGTCTCTGAAAACTCCAGACAGGTCCGGGCGCACCACTGTGGGACTGCTTGCACTCAACACACCGTTGAATGCAATCACGAACTTGCCCTCCTGGCAACGTCATACTGATCTTGACCGCGTTGCTTTGGTCCAAAGCACAAGAGACGCGGCATGAGCCAGCATATGCCAGCTTTGAAAAGACCTTCAGGCAGGCTGAACATAAGGTCCTCCCAGGTGTCATGTTGAAAGCGAGACGTTATCGGATGGTAGGAATTGAAGTGGGACCTGCTGTTTACAGATTTGCTGTACCATCCTGACAAGTGGATCCATCTTCCCTCTCAGCCCCTGACTGAGGGGCGACTCGAACTTCCGGCGGATAGACCTAGACTGTTAAATTCAATCATTGTGCGGCAGTGACCCGACGCGACAAATCAAGCACTGGCTTGAGTGAGCTGGCACCATGAAGGTCATCCTCCCCTTTGGTTGCCCACTCCTCTGACCGAAAGAAACATGTTGACCTCGAGTTTCCCTACCTGAAGGGCCTACCCGGCACGGAATGCACGTGAAACCCGCATAGCGTACGGTGCACAGACTGCGAAAGGAAGTCCTCCAAATTTTCCGACGCAAACTTCCGAGGGTTGTCCTGCATGCAGGATGACACTTTGAAACATGCAATGTTCGTGGCTGTGGAAAGACCAGTCAAACAGATATCGGCATGGCACAAACACAACAGTTCGGATGTGCAACTAATTACCAGCCAAAAGACCTTCAGGAACTGCCAGGCAATTGCTGCGTTCTCCCACCTGACAGGCATGTAACTCTGTGTGTCCGTGCGTGTGGGTGCATAGCTATGTGTATGCGTATGTATGTATACATGTACATATGAATATATGAATATATGAAGATATGAAGATATGAAGATATGAAGATATGAAGATATGAAGATATGAAGATATGAAGATATGAAGATATGAAGATATGAAGATATGAAGATATGAAGATATGAATATATGAATATATGAATATATGAATATATGAATATATGAATATATGAATATATATATATATGTATATATATATATGATATATATGGTATATATGCGTACGTATACACAGAGACATACACGAAGATGTCTTGGAGTTTCCACCAACCTCTTGGTTAAGCCATCTGATCGGGATGGTTCGGAAATTTGCTGCTTCGGTTGAACCAGAATAGCGAGTGGTACAGGAAATTGGTTTGGTGGAGGAATCGGTTCTGAAATGTTCTGGACATATTATCTTCATGCATGATGACGATACGCATGCCACATGCATACGTATGCTTGTAACGTTGTCATATTATGCTTCTGTGCGTGTGTCTCCTCGGATGTGTATGTACTTGCATGCACATAGGCAGCACGGAAACATGAGACTCGCACCAAGGATGGTTGATCCATGGAGAATCATCCGCACCTGGGTCACAGTTTCAACCGCCGGTACACCAGAACGCGACACAAAGTCAACCATCGCACGCCAAGGACGTATTTGGATGCTGCATCTCTTGCATGCGCAGACCACAACCGCATACAACCACACACGCACACACTTTCCCTCTTTCCTGTTCTTGCTCTTCCCTGTTCTACAATAAAGATGTATGAAGGGTCCATGACGTCGCCCCGTGCTCAGCAGCGGGGCGCCCCGGTCTATGTCCTCGAGAAAATGACTCTTATGGAACTAAATCACTAGGAGTTATCTATTGCCAGCTTGAATCCCCAGAATTCGCTGCCATCACCCGCCCACTCTGCTTCTTATGCAGGGCACGTGGGACCGGCCAAGGTTTTTCGGGTTGTGACGTCCGAATAAGCAGAACAAGCGATGGGTGGGGCTGCTCTCTGCTCCATCCTGCTCCGAGCTTGGAGCTTTCCAGCCTAAGTGCACATGAGCTTCTTGTTCCAGGGCATGAAGGGCGTTTAAGCCCCCTGGCCACCAACGCACCCCTTATGTGATGGGGCTTTGGAATGCACCTGAATTCTTTGTTTTTGTTGGGCGTAGGGGTCGTGTTACGACCCCCAGGCCTTCGGCCCGCCCAACCCCTCTATATTAGTGAGTGGTTGGCTTTGGGGCCCCAGATGCATAAGGCAAAGAACTACGTAGTGGGTGTTCGAGCAAAGAGCCTGCCCTTCGCGCTAGCACCCCTGTAGCGGGCCTCATCACCGCGCCCTGTGGCACTCAGTGGGCTCGTTGCACAAGAAATCGGAGCAAGCCCCCTATGCAGCTGTCACGTGTTGTGCCTCATCATTCTAAAACATATGCACTCCCAACTTCATTGCTAAGGCACGAAAGCAGCTGCACGATTGTACTGTTCTCTACGGAGGGCGCTGACTGTGTCATGTACAACACTTTATGTACAATCATGACAACGCTGACACACATCAGTTGATGCGGTTCTCGCCCCCTTGTCTGGCCGGTTGCCTTGGCGCGCTGGCTTGCTGGGGGCCCCCTTTGTAGTTGTGGAACCGGCCAAAAGCAGTGAGTTAGTTGTTGGGGGTCCCCTCGAAAAGACTGCATCATGTAAAGTGGTGAGACTACATACTGGAGGCTACTTGCGAGCCTCATTGTCACCGACAGCGTCTACATACAAGCTAGATGCAGGTACCATCCTTGGGTCTGGAGGTTCGCGGAAATGATCCCCTTTGTTCGGGTCTGGCGTCCCCCCTTGTGGTGGGGTTCGCTCGTGGAGGTGTGTGCTACGTGGTGGTCCCTCTTTACGGGCGTACGAGTTCGTTACGGGTGACTTCACACTGCTCGGGCAAGCTGCGCATCCTGGCTCCCTGGTTGACAATGTTGCAGCATCCCTGAAAACACCCTACTCCCCTAATCATCGTTGTCAACGGAGCTAGGGCTGTCAAGGTGTCGCCTGCGACGGGGCGAGTCCCCCTCACTCAGGTGTGGGTCTCCCTGCGTTCTGGTAGTAGTGGTCGAGGCTCTGGCCGCTCCTGTGTCCCCGTCGTAAGAAATCTCGTGCACGATCTCCACGTTGTCCCCGCAGTGCTCGGTGGTCCAAGATCACCAGGTCCTTCAAGGCTTTGCTAGCTTGTTTGTGTACATCGCCATCCAGGAAGGGTAATAGGTCACGAGGGCGTCTTTTGGCTCGGTACACATGCTCCGGCTTGGGGATTGTGGGTTCTGGTTTTCTGGTAGCTTCTAGGTTGACGGCATCAGACGGATGCGCCGTCAGGTCCTCAGCTGGGTAGAGGCCCACCTGCACTTTGACCCCCGCCGCAGCAGCCGCCAACAGGAAACCCAGTACAGCGTAGTCCTCCCGTTCTCGTTCATGTTCGTCCCCTAAAAGGAGACTGGAGAGCATCTCTTCTGCTGCCTCCACTGCGTCCGTGCCCCGCCTGCATGAGCTCCATGATCTCCAGGAGCTCGCCCACTTCGGGGTAGTTTCCCCCGGCAGCTTTTTCAGCCAGTAACCTCCCATTGTGGTGTTGAAGTATCGCCGTCATGGCTTCGTGGGAAATGCCATCTGGCCCGCAACTTTATTTCTGGCCCAACGGCTGACGGCCATTGTCACTTCCCCGGGATCAAAGGGTCTCCAGGGGGTTCTCTTACAGAGTTGCTCCAATGTTTTTTCTGATGTGCTGCATCCCCTCTTGGACCTCCCGGACGGGCACCTTGTTGAAGATCCCCCGCCGGAAATGCTTCCGTAGTTGGGCTGCGGTACGCCCCCCAGCTGAGTTGCGCTGCTTCACTGGCTTTCTGCTGGAGCCAGCGTCTGCGCTCTTGCTCTTTTGTTTTCTTGATCTGCTTCCAGGCTTGTTTAGCCTCGTCGCCCGGTGGGATACCATGGGCGGTACGACGGAGCTGTTTAAGTGCGGGGCTCTCGGTGTATTTGACAGTTGTTCTGCCTGGTCTCGTAATGGCTTTGGCTGCTTTGGCAATGCTTAGGTGCGGGTCCTGTGCACGGGGGGCAGGCTGGTTGAGCTGTTGTTCCACAACCCCGTCGGCTTTGAGCCTTCGGGGTCCCCAAGTAGCAGTCTCTGTGTTGTCTTTGTTTTTCCCAATGAAGCTGCAAGGTAAGCTTGACCCCGTCGTGATCCGTTGCTGCTCTGTGTCTGCAGGCCACCATCCCCCCTTTTTTGTGTCTGTGAGGTGCCTCGACATGCGACGTAGTCGAGGCGTCGAGGTGTAAGCTTTGTGTTGTATGGAAAGTATGTCGGGGTGGAGGTGTGTTGCAAGGGAAGAGTAACGCGGTGCTCGCTCATCCATTGTAGGACGCGTTCCCCTCTTCCCGTCGAAGAGTTGGCTGCTGTTGTGTAGGGCTGAGAGAAAACCTCGTTGGCGTCCATGCCAATTACGAGTCTGCCAGTGCTGAGGTGGTCGCCCCAGATGTCATTGGTTTCGGGGATTGTAGCGTGGTGTGGGATGTGCCCAGAAAGGCACCTTATTTTGGTCCCCCCCTTTCAGAAGTAGGGCGGTTGTGAGTCCTCCCAGTAAGCCATGTGTGTTTCTGTGCCCACCAAGGGTTTTCTTGTGCGCCACCCCTACCCCCCTCCATTCCGTTGTTTGTTTGCTCGCACCAATGCTCCAGTTGTCGCTCTCTCCCGAAAGCACTCGAGGACTTCCAGCACGTTTTCAGCCGTAAGCCCCCCGACATTCCAGGAGATGATGTCGAATTCCAAAGTAGCGTGTGCCCCATGTCCCCCCGCCGCTTCACGGTGAATTCGGGGGTGAAACTCTGTTTTGTTGCTTCAGCGTAGCTCGGCTGCCAAGGGCTCCCATGCCCTTCTCAGTTCCCGTTCGTTACGTCCAAGTTGCCGAGCAATGGCGGAGATGTCAACCCACCCCACCCCTGCCTCGTGGCTGTCGAGGGTCGTGCTGTGGTGGCGGAGCTCGTCTTGACATTGTTGATCCAGGTGCTTCCAGTGCCAAACTCAACCTCCAGCCGGCCTGTCCCCCACCTTGGCTAAGCCACAACCTCTTGACCATCCCCGCCAGACGTGCTCTTCGTCTTCGTTCTGGGCTCTGGGACATCGCAATCCAGGCCAGCTGCGGTTCCCCAGTAGGTTTGGTCCCCACTTCCACTGCTGCGTGGCGCACTCGGCTGATGGCTGCTTGGACACGCTTGCGCTTCTCTGCCGGGGATTCCCCCGGTCGGTCGGGTACAGGAAGTAGTGTGTAGCCGCGGCGGATCCCCGGGACGAAGGCTTCGCTGATATCAAGGTCCACCGCCAAGTTCTGCAGGAGCTGCTTGGCTTCACGAAGGGTATCTGCAGCCGGGTTTTCAGTCCCCCCCAACGTCAGTTGTGCTTGCTCCGGAGGGGTCTGCTTCGCTGCTCCCTCCTTTTTGTTCGAGTCGGCGTAGCCGCTCGTCGAATTCACGGTCTGCTTCTTGCATTTGCTGAAGGATGCTTTCTTGTTTGTAATATTTGTTGGTCATATCATCAAGCAAGTTGATGGTTTGTTGGAGCTTGTTTGTGACTTGCCCTTCCACCTGGTCCATTCGTCCCCTGAGAGTACGGATATCGCTCTGCATCCCCCCAACTGCCGCTACCAGCTCGCTGCGGAAGGTTTCTTGGATGGCGCTGAGAGTGATTGCTGGTTCACCCTCCCCTGCAGGTCGCTTCCTTTGTTGCTGTGCTCCAGACTGGTCGATGTGCATTTCCTGCTGGCTTCCAAGCNNCCCCCCCCCCCCCCCGCCTGTTCCACTAGCCACTGGCATGGATTGCAAGGTCGCCGATCTCCAAATAGTTCACGATCTTCCGGTTGGAGCTTTCCCCCGCCCCGCGTAGAGGAGCTTCTCGCGCTTATCGTTGATGGGTTCCCGGTCGCTTCACTATGCTGTGCACAACCTCCCCCGACCAAGGTGGATGCTGCTGCTGCTGCAATCTTGACTATCTCCTTCGTCCGGACCTCTGGCAGGAACAGGGCGAACTAGCCGATGTTCCCCGCCAGCAATCGCGGCAGCAGAGAAGAGGACGAGAGAAAGAGAAAGGCCCCCGGGTTGAGAGACCGGTTCAGCAGCCAAGAAGGAGAAGAAGGAAAGAAGGGGCGGAAGCCTTCCCGGTCTCTTGAACCACTCACGGCTACGGCTCGCTCTCTCTCTCTCTCTCTCTCTCTCTCTCTCTCTCTTTCTTTCGCCAGGGTTAGGGACTAGGGGAAGCTGTCTCTCTCTTTCTTTCGGCAGGGCTAGGAGCAGAGAGGTTTCCCCCTCTGCCCGCGCGCCGTTGGCGCCCCCGACTGGTGCGGAGGGGTTGGGCCATTACGCACGCGACAACAAAGCAAATTTCGCTAAATTTGCGAAATTTGCTCTGTCTCTCTCTCTCTCTCTCTCTCTCTCTCTCTCTCTCTCTCTCTACGGGCCATGGGGTTCGGGGCAGGTCAAGCCCCTCCCCCCGCACACTGCAAGGAAAAGAGTCCCCCAACCGATGGC